GATATATCTAAAGCTTAATTTCTGAGATTCAAAGTTCCCCCATTCTTCTTTTAAGAGGTTCTTGTCTAGTGTTGTACGTTTTCAATTGTGCAATCATATGTCCTTTGTACTGTCTTATAGAGAGCAATGCATTTATGTAACTTAAAACTGTTATATGGTACGCATGTCGCTACATATACACTTTCATAGTCGTCTTGATTTTGAAATCTTAATTTTGAAAATAAAATGCATTATTGTGTGAGTACTTAAGTTATTTGTCATAGTTTTGAATTTTATGTGCCAAGATATAATTTTGAGAACGAGATGTTCAAGGATATGCATGTCACATCGACACAATTTTAGGGATGGCACACGTCAAATTCAACATATTTTATATGCATTTGTCACAACTTAGGAGAAAAAATGAAGAAACGTCGGCGTCACATCTACGTAACATATGTATGCACTTACCAATTTTTCGTGAATTTCGGATTTTACTTGTTTGTTGAACTAAATTCTTAGATAAAATTTTCAGTAACTTCTTGTTTTTTTTCCCTCTGAGTAGATTTTTTAGTTGTTAATTTTTTGTCTTGTTGTGAGATAGAGGTAAGGATATTTCAATCTTAACAATCAAAAAATTGGATATTTACCCTCCATTTTCTTTTCTTGACGGACCAATCATTCCGTGAACGGATCCTCCCTCGTATTATTTATAATTGTTTGTGTGTGTGTGTGTATATATATGTGTGTGTGTGTGTGTGTGTGTATATATATATATATATATATATATACACACACACACACACACACACATATATATACACACACACACACAAACAATTATAAATAATACGAGGGAGGATCCGTTCACGGAATGATTGGTCCGTCAAGAAAAGAAAATGGAGGGTAAATATCCAATTTTTTGATTGTTAAGATTGAAATATCCTTACCTCTATCTCACAACAAGACAAAAAATTAACAACTAAAAAATCTACTCAGAGGGAACAAAAACAAGAAGTTACTGAAAATTTTATCTAAGAATTTAGTTCAACAAACAAGTAAAATCCGAAATTCACGAAAAATTGGTAAGTGCATACATATGTTACGTAGATGTGACGCCGACGTTTCTTCATTTTTTCTCCTAAGTTGTGACAAATGCATATAAAATATGTTGAATTTGACGTGTGCCATCCCTAAAATTGTGTCGATGTGACATGCATATCCTTGAACATCTCGTTCTCAAAATTATATCTTGGCACATAAAATTCAAAACTATGACAAATAACTTAAGTACTCACACAATAATGCATTTTATTTTCAAAATTAAGATTTCAAAATCAAGACGACTATGAAAGTGTATATGTAGCGACATGCGTACTATATAACAGTTTTAAGTTACATAAATGCATTGCTCTCTATAAGACAGTACAAAGGACATATGATTGCACAATTGAAAACGTACAACACTAGACAAGAACCTCTTAAAAGAAGAATGGGGGAACTTTGAATCTCAGAAATTAAGCTTTAGATATATCACTTCAGGGTTCGTGAAAAATATAAATTCAAATAGTAGAAATAGATTTAGATTTTCTTTTTTTTTAATAATAAATAGTTAAATATCTAACCTCGTAGGTAACCATTAATAAATGATTGTAATATGACATTAAAATTTTCTTTAAGTACATTACTCATTATGAGTAAACAATAATGAGAAATAACATACCTCATTACCTAAACCACAAATTCGAACTTCATTTCTTCAAAGAATTAACCGTGCGAATATAAGGTATCTCAACACTAGGCATTGCTCCCAAAAGCATATCATTGCCCTGCACTAAAGTTGTATCTAATGCATTCGACAACAAAGGAGAAACTCCACCAAATTTTGACATTCTAAGGGATCACGCCTTTGATGTGCACGAATGTAATACCAAAGTTCATCATTTTTGAACTGTCCATTACTACTGGCAAGACAAACAAGTTTTAACTACAAACATCAAACAGGATCTCATGACGCGTAAAATTACTCCGCAAAATATGGGAAAGTCGAATTTTAAGGCTCCAGATCGAAATCCACTGCCAATACTCCAAAATGTATGCTCCAAGGAGATAAACTTGTATAGAATCATACTAGCGTGATATATTCATAGGTCTCCTCTAAGATACAGATAAGCTAACCCAGCATATGGCATGATACAAGTAAATTCAACATCACGCTAAAGCAACATTTGAATCATGCATCATCACGCATGCACAGATACAGTACAGATTATCATATGGTTCAAAATAGACGAAAATGAAAAACCGCAGCAAATATTAGAGATACCTAAACATAATACCTCTACCAGGAATTATTGTCCTAACCAGATCTCAGAGAAGCTCCTTAAACTGGCATCCCAAAGAGCATAATCCTGAGACTTGAGAATAGCAGATCTAGAGTCTAGACGATGAACTGCCACTAGGGCTCCTAGAATGTCTTCTCGAAGAACGGCTGTCGCGAGAGTGTGCTCGTCTGATAGACCCACGGGAACCACAAGATGCACTCCTCTTTGAGCTTTTGCTTGCTTCATGGGAACCACGTGAATCATTTCGCTTCGAGATGCTACTTGGTTTGGGAGACGCGCTACGAGAGTAACTCCTCCTTGAGATCCTCCTCGGAGAAGGTGTCACACTTCGATAATGGCTTCTAGTGTACCTTGGTGAGACACTGCGGGAGTAACTCCTCGAATGCTGGGGTGAGGGGCTCTGTGAGTAACTCCTCCTAGAAGTCTTCCTATACCTTGGTGATATGCTTCGGGAAATAGACCGATATCTCCTGCTTCTATAATATCGATCGTCTGGAGAGTACTCCCTTGAAATAGACCGATATCGATGACTTCTATAGTATCGATCATCGGGAGAATAGTCCCGATAGTAGTACGGAGAATAGTACCGGTCACGTCTGCTAACAGGAGACCTGCTGTATGATGGCGAACGATATCGTGAATAAGAACTTCGACGGCTGTAATATGGGGAGTATGACCTACGTCTGTCATCTGGAGAGTACGATCGTCGGTGCCGTCTGTAATAAGGAGAATATGATCTGCTACGACTCCTAGAGTGAGAAGAGTAGCTAGGAGATCGACGACGCCCTATATGAACAGGGAGAAGCTTAGGAGTCGTGAACGAAAACAATCATTCCAACAGGTCTACAAACTAGTAAAAACAACTCACTCTGAGTTCTCAGCCCAAGGTACCTTCCTGGAGTAGGTGTACGGCCTCTGTGTCTTCTAGCCTTCAAAATCAGAAATATACTATAAAATTACAGTGTCTATTTGACGATCGATTATATTTTTTCCCTCATAAAGAACAATACATCTCAGGGAAAATAAGAAACTGCAACATGTAACTCAAATAGTATTAAGGTTAAAATTGTGAAAGGAAAAAGAGAAATGCAGGGCATACAACCCTCTGATTTAACAGTCGGATATTTGCTTGATGTGTTTGATTTGATTTGTTAGTTTGGTGAAGAGCTGCTGCACACAGCTACCCTGTCGTCATAGAAACTTCAGGAGGAGAAAGCAAACAATTTCTCAATCTCAATTTCAATGGAAAACAACTCATACAATATCAATGTAATCATTAACAAAAGCAACCAAAAAAGGGATCTATGCATGTGATTGCCTTATAGGGAGGATGAAAACAATTTACCTTCTCCACAGTTATGACCCTGCCTTCAAACACTGAGCGGTCTAAGTACTTGATGCAGCGATCGGCATCTTTCACAGTGGACATGGTCACAAATGCAAAACCACGAGATTCTCGTGTCCATGGATCAACAACAAGATGAACATCTTCAACCTAAAGGAGCATATCATTAGTAAGCAAACAGTACCATGCATATTTGTACAACACTAAATAAGACAAAAATCCAGCCCACGGATTAATAACCCTCGAGGGCATTATACAAACTGGAAAGAAAGTAAGGTGCATTCCACACATACCACTCCCTCAGATGAGAAGTGCTTCTCAACATCTCTCTTCGAAACTCGCGCTGGAAGTCCAGTCACATACAAATTATTTCCCGGATTCTCATCATCACTTGAGTCGTAGCTCCTGCCAAGTCATCCGAGAAGATTTATTTAGTCTATTTCAACAAATATGGGATCAATCAGAGTCCTGGCGAACTCTCGAAAATGTGACTTCAAGTCCATCAACATCAATTCCATTAAAGAGTTTCCATAAGAGAAATAATTAGTTCTATTCATTTCAAAGTAATGGAGTTCAGGTCTGTATATAACCTTGATCTGCTCCTTGATAAAGACCTTGAAAGAGACCTGTCATAGCGCTTGTAAGGGGAAGGAGAACGAGAATACCTAGAACAGAAACTTGCAACAAATTAGTATTAGTACAAACTAAAAATTAAGTAAAATATATTTTAATCTCAACACCGGGATTAAAATAAACTTAGAGATCAGCACAGACCTTGACCTCCTGGAGTATGACATCTGTGAAGAAAAACATATAAAACTATTAGAATTAAAGAAGAATGACATGAAAATGCATAATAAAAGAACAAGGTGAATAAATATGAGAGACCTATTTCCTGACTAACTAAAACATCCAAATTGAGTAATTCCGCGGAATAACAAATTGATTGGTGACATTATACAGTTGATCAATTCTCAAGGTTCCACTTGACCATAATTAGAAAACACGTTTCACCTTTATTTTATTCAATAATTTTATTTTACCATATTTCCCCTATAGACTATACAGAAAGTAAATTTGAGCCTAGTATATATATTTATATAGAATAAGCACAATATTGATGTGAAAAAATCGTTACTTGGAAACTCCAGAGCAAATGAGACGCGAAAATAATATTAATCGACCGCTCTCTTTCATGAACAATCATATTTAGCATTCTAAAACAAACATACACAAGTTGCGAACAAAAAATGCAACTGAATTAAATTCCAATTATCTACACACTATCCGAATAATTAACAATCGCCAGCAAATTAACGAACAAAAAGGCACCGCATTCGCTCATAAATGCCATTTAATACGAGAGGAAAACACACACAAAAAAAAATAATAATAATAATAATAAAATAAAAAATAAATAAATAAACCCAGCAAATGAACGCTGGCAAATCAACACAATAATTTAAAAAAAAAAAAACATTAATAAGATTAAAGTGAACTTACCTCTTCAGGCTGTTAATTGTTAAAGATCGACGACGATTTTCCTTTATCCGCTCTTTCCTATAATCGCCCTTCGGATCTGTGGAAGTCTCTACAAAATGAAAATCTACGGATTACGTGTTTATATAGTTGGACACGGAAGTTTCTGGAGAAGTTTAAATGGGCTAGTATCAGTTGGGACTTGGCCCAAACAACATTTTAGTTTAGCACGGCCCGTGTACATTCCTAATTTATTGGTCAATTAAGTTTGAAAATTAAAAAAATTCTTGTTTTCACAAGGATTAATTTCAAAAAAAGTCATTGAACTTATCAAAATATTACAAAACGGTCACTAAAGTTCAAAACTTTCAGTAACGGTCACTAAAGTTCAAAACTTTCAGTAATGGTCACTGAACTTCCGGGCGGTTAAACTAATGGTCACTTAAGTTTAAAAACTTTCACAAATGATCACTGACATTACCAAAATAATTCTACTTCAAACTTAATGACCAAAACACGTGACCAAAGAATATTGAGGACCTTAGGTGCAAATTTTAGATCAAAAAACTTCCAAACCTAGCGATATTTAATTCCAAAATTTTGTATGTCAGAGCTGTAATTTCCATAATTGAGCGGTTACCCAGTGTCTTTTCAACCTGAATATCAATTCCTCCAAGTTGATTTGTATATTGGGTTGCATTGGAGCTCCAATTGATGGATAAAATTCATTTTCTCAGAAGTGGATGTGGTGCGGATAATCCAAAAATTGGCTCAATTTGATGATTAATCGGTGCAATTGAATCATGACCCAGTGTACTACCAACCTGAATTGAAGATATCCAAGTCGAATTTGATGATTGGGACGGTGTAGAAACCTTAGTTGAAGATGGACAAACCGGGCTGCCTTGCGTATGAACCATTCGACCTATTCATCTACTTTGTGCCCAAATTGGTGATGACCCATGGCTGGAATATGTGCGTCATGAAGAGAGGATGTTAGGACAGGTGGTTCGCGATCATGGGAACCACCACCGTCGTCAGAAAATGAGTTTGTCGACCGCGAGTTCCCTATTTCCAAAAATGCTCTATAATTCGATTTTTTTGGTTGTTTGTTATTATATGAACATGGCTAGACGCGTCTACATGAGCTTGAGCGATCTATAGGGTGTGATTAACATGGGCTTCAATGGAGTTGGATGAATTTGGAAGAAAGCCGGGGCAATTTTAGATGATTGGGAAATTCATTTTGGCCGAAAATTTGCAACTAAGGTCCTCAAAATTCTTTGGTCATGTGTTTTGGTCCTTAAATTTGAAGTAGAATCATTTTGGTAACTTCAGTGACCATTTGTGAAAGTCTTTAAATTTAAGTGACCATTAGTGTAACCACCCGAAAGTTCAGTGACCGTTACTAAAAGTTTTAAACTTCAGAAACCGTTTTGTCATTTTTTAATAAGTTCAGTGACTGTTTTTGAAATTAACCATTTTTACAATTATTTTGATTTTTACCTTATATATAATACTAATTTTTTTTTTTTTTTTTGAAGATACTACTTTTCGGTGTTATTAACATCGGCCAACCATTCCAAATACAACTCAAACTCCATCAAACCCTAGCGCCCCTCCATCTCACCCAACACTGTCATCATTGTTGATTCCCATCCATCACCAGCACTTGAAAATTTAGTCGTCATCATCCCTTTAAAGCTAACAACTTCAAACACCTCTCATGGAGATAGTTGGCAAACAACGGAGAGGAAGATATGATTTTGTGTGGTGTTATGTTATGTTTTAGTTGTAGTTGGATGTATGTGAAGGTATGGGTTTGTCTATGTTTGAAAGTATGTTCGGCAGCGATGGCATGAACTTGGAGATAAAGGTTGTGGATTATGATGACATGCTATTTTTACCTTTTTAATATAATTGTTTAAATAATTTAATTACATTTAGTCAATTTGAGTATTCAACGACGAGATTTTTAGTATTTAGGGTTTACCTACCCTTATCCACGAAGAAATTAGGGTTTCTTCACCATTTATTTTTTAGGAACAAACTAGGCCCTTGTTGGAGCTCCATTATTTTCATCAAAATACATTTTTTAACAGTGATCTGACATTATTTCAACCACATACTCTTATTAAAGTAATGTTACATACAAATTCAAAAAAAATTCTTTATTTTTTAACCACACCTTTTTCATTAATATACTATTCAAAAATGCATTTTTTTGCAAGAATGAGGGTCAAACAAGGGATAGATAAATGAAGAAATCAAGGGATTTAACTATGTAAGAAGAAATATAGGGACCGAAATATGTAAGAATAAAGATAGAGGAACTCTAAACCAAGATCACAATTTGAATAGGTAGATAGATTATACTGAATCACAATTTGTATTTTAAAAAGGGAGAATTACAGGTGTGGCCCCCAAAATTTTTCATTTTTTTGTAGACTTTACTCAAACATTTTATTTAGGGGATAGGGCATTTTATCACTACTACATAAAGTTTTCTACCTCCAATAGAGTATGTATAGTTCAAGAAGATCAAGCTGAGGCTCAATCCTGCAATATTAACCTGCTTAGCTCCGGAGTGCACATGTTCCGTGACGAGCAGTATGACAGATCAAAGAAATCCTGACTCAAAAGACCTATCTAAGCTAACCTGACTGAGATAGGTTTACTCAAGTATTATAGAACACCTGAAGACAACTGCCTACCAGCCGAAGGTAAGAAAACAAATCCACATCCTTCCCTAGGTGTCCTAATAGTATCTCTATCAATAGTCGGCATAACCGTTCTTCATGTTCTGGTCAATACTAGCATCATCCTCAATATTTTGTACATCAACACTCTAAAGTGGATGGAAATTCCACTTCATTTCTTGCAGCCATAATCAAATGTGATTCCCGAACTGAATGGAGCCTTATACTACAGCAAAAGGAGTAATCAAGCTCGCTGTCAAGGTCGGCAACGCTCCCCATCAAGCTCAAGTCGACGCTAATTTTGAAGTGTTTGACTCTCCATGGCCTCAGGAGATCAAAAGGAATAAGGAAGTCGATGAAGGATGTCATGTTATTCATTGCCCTCCAAAAGTTAAGAGTTCCCCACATTCAGTTCTAGCACAGAGTAAGAATAGCCTACCTGGTAGAACCTGACCTCAAATCATTAGATCATAGAATCAAGATAAATGATAAAGGAGCGGAACCTATCATGGAATTGGACAAGGTCCAAGTCAGCTCAGACATATCCCGAAAAGTGCTTTCAATTGGATACAGTCATACAGATGCAATTACAAAATATTACAAACAATGAAGAAAGGGCTTCCACACATTGCATAGGACAAGGACAAAATCCAAAATCACATGATAAAATATCAAGAAATCTTGGTCGACTTGCCATGATGTGTTTAAGGATGGATTGAGTAGTTTTGCATATGATCAAACTACTTCAACATGGCTTACCAAAACCCGAAGAATGGGACAAACTTATTGAAGTTTTGTATTAAAGTATTCTACTTGTATCTTAGTAACATAATTTTTATTGAATATTTATTTGATTAAAAATGTATCTTCTTATTTTATTTTTAATTTGACTTCCATTAAATCATTTTTTGCACTTGAATCCAAATGTTGTTGAATGGAATACAAGCCCTATATACTTATGACAAAATATGTTAACTTTTTGCAAAAGATAAGGCCAGTGGGGACGAAGGTGATACACCTAGGGAGATAAAGAGAAAAAGAACCCATTTAGCTCGAAAAAATGCGATGAACTCGGTCAATGAAATTGATTAGATGATAGAGCATAATGAAGTTACATTGGATATTGTTGATATTGAAATAGAAAGAATGATTTAATTTCTCCAGCTTCAAAAAATTTCAAGAATAGACGTAAGGTTAGTCAGAGCAACAACTCATTCAAAGAGGTGGTTGGTACAGTAGACAAGGCAACAGATTGTCTACTTAAAGTATTATTGCGATGTGTGAACCAATCTTCTTTGAAGGACAATGAATTGTTGGAGCATTTAGTTGAAATTGGGGTTGAATACGATGACGAGTTACTTAATTGCCCGAACTTTTCTCCTTCAGAATCCTACAAAGTCGCGGATAATCTACTCATTTCTAGTGCACCGTCGCAAAAGCATGTTAGTGAAGATGCTTAGAAATAAAACCATTGAATGCTAAACCTCAAGTAGGTATACGAGTTGATATGACTTCTTAGGAAGTTCAAAATTTAGTATTTTTTGTTACTTTTCCATTTTGGATGATTTCTAGAAAAATAGTTTGATATGCTTTTATTTATTCATAACAATGTTTGAAAATCGATCATTTACTGTAATACACTTGGGACTATTGGATAATTAAAATTTTATTGTTAGCTTTAGAATTTCTATTATGTGGACAGCATATATGTATTTTATTCTTTTAAAATAATTTTTAGAATCGGTGAATAATAAACTCACAAGCATAAGTTGAATAGCTTTAAATATCGCTTCTAATAATTACTCAAAACCAGTCCGCTCACAAACAATAAAAAATTAGTACTTTAAAAGATGCTCATTGCCTATACCCCGAAACTCCCAAGCAGGCCCTAACACTAATTATTCAAATTATTTATTTCTCATACTACAAAAATGAAATTTCCAAAATTTGCATTTTAGTCCCTAAAAATGAAAATTTGCAAATTTATCCTAAACTCGTCAAAAAGTGCAACAATTCCACTAAATCTCGAACATATTAGCACCAACCTCGAAATGATACTTCAGGACTTAGAATCGTCAACTTGCTACTTTTCCTAGACTGCATTTTGATCCCTAAAGTTCTCAAAATTTGTAAACCCAAGCGAAAATTTTATAAAGTAATATACCTACATCGTGTCAATTTCACGTCATCGTGTCACATTGTATTGTGATTAAAATATGAAATTAAAAATTGAACTTGTAAATGTCTTGACATAACTTTTTGTTGATTACTTCACTTGTAAACCACTGGAAACTTAAAGAAGATACACCGTTATTGAAATATTAACTTGACTCGTGGAATAAGCAATATTTAGATTGTCAAATAGTCACTCTCTTCTACTTTTCCAAAATATCTTAAACTCGGAGATAAAGAGTATATTTTTGTTCAACATAATGACAAACCATAAAATTTGTGTGTAGAAATACTCAAATGGTGAAGGGGTCAACCATATTTGGGATTCTATAGTGAAATTAAAAAAGAATGGTAAATGAAAAGTCTCATAACCTTCTTTTCCCTTAATGCACAAATTAATATTCTGATAAACGGGAGTGATCTTATGAATAGCGATGCCCATATAATGTTACATATCGGTGACATGTTATATAAATTCATTGGTGAATTTCAAACTTAATTCAAATGTTGAGGCCCACTATAAATTTAGCTACCAATGAATTTATATGATACATCATCAACGCTTACTTATTAGATAATTCATGTTATGATAAATATATAATTAGTAGTAAATGAAATATAATGACTTTGAATCCTGGTTATAATAACCGAAGTTAAAGTGTCAAACTGCCACCAACATGGTCCAAACATCCTATTTATATTTATGATGGGAAGAATTCGTCTAACTAAAAATCTGCCCGCCAGTCTTGGAGGTCTTTCACCATCTGCTTTTCCTTTAGTTTAGCCTTTTTAGAAGTAAAGGAAGCAGAGAGGATTGGATCTGGATACCGTAAGGCACATGCAACAACACGAAAAGCGTCGGAAAAGGGGATGAACCTAAGATTAAGTAAGAAAAATACGGGTTTGATCCGGATTTTCTCCCATTTATGTATATGTATCATAGACCGAAGGGATATTTAAGGGAGTTGATATTTTCATCTACCATTTTTATATATCTATTCACTTTTAAAGAAATTTCTATATTTCATTTCTAATCTTATGTAATCTTACTTAATTAGACAATAATAAAATTAAATTAAATTTAACACTCTAAATTCATTGACTAATATTCATCTTCACTAAATTACTTTTAGACCTTTTATATTCTTTTAGATTTTGTGCTTAACTAAAATGGTAAAACCCTATCTTCTTCAACTAAAATCAAAATAAACGAGAGAAAAGATAACATTAGAGCAACTGTATACAAACATAGTAATATATGAAGAATTTGAAAACGTAAGAATGATCATATTCTTAAAGGAATCTGGCAGTGTAATTTTCTTGCCAGTTCATGGTTAGACACTTCAATACAGTGCCTTGTTTTTGTTTGTTTTTCACTTTTTTCTTTTTTGTGCGTCTTCCATAATTACTCAAAGAAAATCTTTTTAACCGTAAGTTAATTTAAATGAAATTGATTTTGTTTTTTGTTAACTAAACTCATGAAATTGAATTTTTATAATATTTTTTGGTTAATCTTAGTGGATATATAGTTTTAAGTGAAAGAATTTAATAAGAGTAATGTTGGAATGTAATGTCGATGAATATAATACTTTTTAAAATTTTAAAACTCTAATCTTGTTTCAGATTCCATTTTTCTACTTAGTGCTTGTTTAGTAGGGATTTTGTTAATTGATTTTTTGACCGTTAGAGATAAAGTGAGTCTTAGTAGGGATTTTGTTAATTGATTTTTTGACCGTTAGAGATAAAGTGAGTCTTACTTGTGAGAAAAGAATTCAAAAATGACGGATAAAATAGTGAAATAACAGTAAAAATTTTGATGTTAACTGGATTAAAATTTCTACCAAACATGCTCTTAATGTCCTTAGTAAAGGATTTTCTATGCGTATACTACCATTAGCTACAATTTGCTTTCCTTTGTCCATTACGTACAAATCCACTTAGTCTTTTTATTCTACTAAACTCTTCGACTTTTCTTAAATCTAATTTTTCTATCTTATTCGATCTTGTCCAACAACATGCACCGAACAAGCACCATGTGTCAATAAACCTATATTACACACTTGACTATGGTGCTAAAGAAAGCAATTTTATTAATAGACAATGTTACACGTATCAAATCTTTTTATTGAAATTTTTACCTATCGCTCACAACAGGGGTAGGGATCCTGGGCCATCATTTTTAAATTCACGCGGAGCCCATCATACATTGTGAGATGGGAGACAACATTCGGTAACTCCCCCTCAGTACATATATATTTATCCTTTATTAATTGAGGAGAATCCATTAACCCAAGATATTGAAAATTGAAGTTATCGGATGCATATCTTTTACTCTCGTTTAAAACATCACTTCAAAGATAATGACATAATAGTAAATAGTTTTGCATATACACACAATGTCTTTGAAAGTTACGATAATGCGCATTAGCCATCAAATGACTTACCCAGGATGAAACTTCTCCGAGTCCCCTATCTATTTGCCATCTTCTTCATAGTAATTGACAAGTTCACACTCATCTATCCATTCGCTGTATCTCAGTGCCGATTTTGTAATTTTTGGGCTCTGAGGCAAGCATCATAAATTGGACTCCAAAATTTTAGTATTCATCCAAAATCGTATTATGGAGTCAATAATTAACTTGTAAACTTAAAATTTAACAATAAAACATCAAATAAAATGTATTATACAAAAAATTTATAGTATAATCAAATAACAAAGCGAAAAATTGTATTATGGAGTCAATAATTAACTTGTAAACTTAAAATTTAACAATAAAACATCAAATAAAATGTATTATACAAAAAATTTATAGTATAATCAAATAACAAAGCGAACAATGTTTCAAACGATCAGTTAAATACTATTTGTCTTGCGATTTTAGAGGCAAAAATATTATTAAAAATTGAATAATCTATCTGTTCGATTATTTCTTTCTCAATTAATAATATAGTCAATCAATTCAATCTTTCTTGTTATATAGTTAATGAGAGATAAGATAAGGAATGATTAACAAAATTTTGTAAGTAATATAAATAATTAAGATATTTTCAAATATTGTAGCACTTTGATTGCTCTCACTACCTCATGACATGTAACTCTGAATAATAAACCATCTCCATTAATGTTTGAACATCAATTGTATTTTAGCTACTTCTCAAGATTCATAACATATTGAAAAAATTGCACGCTTTAACCTTTCCAAATTTAAGAAAAATTGAAATATTTCTTCATATTGTATAAATTGTCCAAATCAAATTTTAGAGAAGATAGAGCATAATTAATTATAAAAAAGAAGTATTCAACACTAAAAGATTCTTCAACCGATTGATTTATCTCATCACTACTATTTTTGTCAAATTACTTCTTTATTCAAATTATACATTGTTTTCAGAATACATCTTCAATACCCATTTTACTTGCCTTTTTTTGTCAATTTATCAATGACAATAGTAAATTCAATTTCTCTATACTTTTTGAGAAATAAAAAAATTCATTGTAAGAAGTCGATAGCACCGTTAATATCCATGTTTTTTTTATTTGAAGAAATTTACTCATAATATTGATTACATATAACAACCTGAAGCAAATTACCTTGCTAAGCAAGAACTCAAAATTTTGAAGTTCATATATTGTTAAGGACTTCACTTTACTCTTTGTTCAAGGATTTTTGTTAATTTTTGCCTAGTCAAGTAATACGTCACTTATTTTAAACAAATAAATTGAATGCTACCTATGTGATGAACAAGTTGAATAGAATTGAGAAATCATTGCAACATGAGTTTGGGAAATCTTACGCCACTTGTCCGCTTCTGTTACAGTTGAAATGGACCTAATTTAGAAATGAAATTTCCATAATAAAAAAAATATTACTAGGCCTTATTTATAAATGGAATGGAATGGGCCTAATTTATCAATTTTTTAATAAAAAAATCCTAATGAACCTAATTTACCAAATAAAAAAATGAAATAGGCTAAAATCTGAGGCCTCTCTAATGATGGGCCTGAGGCGATAGCCTCACTCACCTATATGCAAAACCAGACATATTCCATCTGTAGGCATAGAATTTTAGTTAGATAAAACGGAAAGTCATAAAATTTAACAATTCAATATGAATTCACACTCATCTTTGTCGAGCTGGGACACCTTACATACATCATCAAAAAGTTTTTTTTTTTTTTTTTTAAATTTATGACCGAAAGTGTTCGGGCGAGATTATGCACACATTGACTAATTCTACAAAGCCCTAAAATTTACAGTCGAGTACTCACCTCAATCACCTTGAGAGAACTCGAACTGGTAACCATTCGGGAACACACTAAAACCTGACCACCGAGTTACCCCTCAAAGTCACCAATCATCAAAAGGTTGAGAAAATGTGATGACACAAACTAAAGGTTGGAGACAAAAGGATTTGAAATGCCTAGAGAAATTTATCTCAACTTATTGGGGACTCACTCGTTATATAACTAAAAGCTAAAGACTTGTTTATTAAATATCTACATTCTACATTTTGCATAAAGACCCCCAATCTATTTTTCACTATATCATTAAAAGCCATATTTGGAAAATATCATTTGTGCACTTTGGAATATACATCTTGTCTTACATTTACTTCATCAAAAAAAATTCTTTGGACGGAAGAACTGTATTTTATTATTATTATTTTTTTTTAACTATCAATTGACAAAATTGCCAAACTTGCTGTGCACCAAATGATTGTTAAATTTTAGAGCCAAGTGACATTATTTACAAAAAAAATTATTCGCTATTGTATTACGATTTTCAACTACGCAAACACAAGTATCAAAAATTAATCAAAAACTTTAAATAGGAGGCACCAACGCAGGCACATCTGGCACACGAAAGCACCAATGCAGACACATCGTGACACACAATAACGTTATAAAAATTATGCATATCACTTTTACTGAAGTTACAACACCTGCAAAAGAATTCAACAGCAGAATTCAGCTGAGCAATTCAGTTCTCTTCTTTCTCTAATGACTTCCCCATCGATGCAGCTTCCTTTCTTCACTGGTTTTATGAGTTTTCACATTTCCGATCAGGCTTTAGATACATTTAACCAGTTCTGGTGTAAATATAGTTGCACGACAGAAGAAGCTACAACATTTTATGATTCTCCGTGCTTCAACTTCTTTTTCTGTTTTCGTTTTTTCTGTTTTTCCTTCAGCCTGATGAAATCCTTGATACTCCGGTCCCATTGTTTTCTGTTTTTCTGATAAAGTAGCATTGCGGCTCTAGCATCTTGTACCTGAATATGACATGGAAACAAAGGGAGTAAGCCACCATACTGATGCTTCAATGAGTAGAATTACTAGCATTCAAGATGAATATCCACAAGATACAAAAACAGGCGAAGGTGAAAGTATTTACATGAGAACAGAGATAATTAGAAAATTTCCTAAGTTATAAAATGAAACAATTGGATAAACAGTATAAATCCATGTGTAAGTCAATAAGGGCGTGTTTGATTACATTTATTTTCCATGAAAAATATCAATTTTCCACGGAAAATATCAATTTTCCACCCAAAATCCTACTTGAGATGTTCGATTGCTAATTTTTTTTTAGAAAAACATTTTCTAACTTTTGAAAATATACCTAATTTTCCTTATTTTTAAGGAAAACATTTTCCTTGGATGGAGGTAGATTTTATTTTCCACAAAAGAAGGAAAATATTTTCTTTTCTACGTAATATTTTCCATGCCAATCAAACACATTTTAAGTGTATCATATGATAAAACTTCCAAAGAAAATGAGCAATAGTATCATATGTCAGACCCACACCCTTGGGATCACACAGAAATACATTTGCCTTTTTACGGGTCAAGGATATTGCACTATTGCAATGAGTTGCCGTCTCCAAATGAAACACATTATTTTTTGTGTATGAACTCATATGTTTCATAACAGTGTTGAGCTTGATAAACTCTTCATCCACACTCCATTGATCATGGCCATGAGAATTACTTAACAGTTCCAAATGTTTTTTTGAAACTGTTGAGAAAGATGCATCCAGACTGGTTGGAAAATCAAACTACTTCGAACCAATTTAATTAAATGTGAGATATGTAAATCTATTCAACCAAATGTCTCGTCCCATTATCTCATACATGATACAACCACCGCTGAACGTGTTTAAAATAAGTAGAACAGAGAAATATACGCATTGGTTGACATGTAAAGAGCCAGTCTATAGAAAAAAAGGTACTTACTGGGCAGTGTTCGCCATTTTGAATCTCAACATCGAGAAATTGGGATGCGAGATTCTTTAGTGAGCGACTTCGCCCTTCCCTAAATCATCAACCACATGCCACAACGAAACACAGCTATAGTTATTGATCAATTGCTGAAAGCCTGAAATAATTACTATAATCAAGTCAGAAAGCCAAGTAGTACTTTAGAAAAGGCGTATATTCTGAGGTATCTCGTATGTCCTTCTTCAGATGACTTAAGAGAAGTGCCTACACAAAAAAATTGACTCCAGGTACTCCAAATTGTGATTAAGATCAGATTACTGTCAGAGATGCAAATTTCATTTGTACAAATGCTCACCTTAAGATCATTGTGTAACGCATGACCAACAAGGATCCTACCCTTTATCAACTCTGCTACTTTTTTCTGGACAACATTGAAATTCTTTGCTGCAAGTAAAATCAGAATTCAGCACGAGAAATATAATGAAATAAAAAAAGGAAGCAGAGTAAAACACTTCAGTACGCTTGATGTGACTTTACAATAACCCCGCTGCAAAAAAAATAAATAAAGGAGCTTCAAATATACAAGACTACAACTAGCAGTGATTGAAAAAACTCCCAGTGAGCCAACAATGTAAAAAGAAAAAGGAACTTGGTTATGTCTGTCTCTCCCCAAACTGACAGAACAGGATGACAAAAGTACTAGGAGATGCCTTGTTCATGCACCGAGATGGTAAAATGGAGAAAATACAACTCTAGGCAAGCATATTACTCACATAAACTAGAAAGGGGATTAAGGGAAAACTATAAGCAGTAACACCAACTGGGGTTCATGATCTGCATGCATAAGCTAGTAAACTAGAAAAGGTGTGAGAGTGGAGGAAGAGTCTGCATATGCCACAATGATTGCAGCGGATTTCAAAGGGTCAAATCAGCACAGTATGAAAATTGTTTGCTGCAATATCTTTTTCCAAATGTTAGACACTAATCATCTTACCCAAGCTGCTAGTGGAGCAAATCATTTTAATTTGGAAAGGGATTTTTATCAATTTCATCAAAGGTAGCCCATACCTTTCCTCAAATCACGAGGTCGAATTCCACTAATTTTTGTACGGAAGTCAACTACATGATCCAAAGGACGAACATACTCGTCATATATAACATTTCCCCATTTGTTTACCTGCAACATAAAGTCATTAATAACTAACAACTTTGAAAAACAAGTAACGTGAGTACAAAGCTGGAAACAAGGCACAATATATTACAATTCTTCCAGCATCTGAGAGAAACAGAATCTATGTCAATGCTTAAGAGTCATGCAGAAACATTTTCAGTGCATTCTACTCGATAAATAAATCAATACTCAAGGTATTTTATTGTTACAGTACAGTTACGGATGACTGAAAAGAAGAGGAATATGAGAACTACCAGTGCGACTCGTCCAAGAGCACTCTTGTTGCCTAGAGAGCTGACACCAACCATTTCACAATCCATGGCCACCACATCTGTGAGACTGTCATGTAGATGATAAGCATGGAGCATGACGCAGTAAGTTCTATGTACAAAAGCATAAAGTATCAAAGAAAGCATAAAATGTCATAAGCAGCCAAGATTCAAAAAGGTTAAAAAAGTATCATGGCTACCCTTGGTTTTCAACCCAGATCCATTGCTTATTGTCAATTACATTCCCTTTCTTTTGTATATTAAAAAAAAAAAAAAATCCCTTCTTGACAAATCTGAATTAGGGAAAAATCTTCTGGACAAGCAATGTGTGTGTGTGTGGAAACTGGAAAATCATGAGTACATTGAATTCACCAAGCACATTCTTCCTCAATTTCGTGTATGTCCTAGAGTACAACAAACTAATTAACATTTCTATCTTCAGCTTTTTATAGCATAGGTTCATATTATAGCATTGGTTCATATATAAATCAGAATAAGAAACTGAGGTCAATCAGTCCTAATTCGGATTGCATTCATCCGAATTAAAATCACAAACAGGCAAAAGAAAGCATTTTTTTAGTGCCAAACCTAAACAAAAAGAAACATACGGATCAAAAAAGTGACTTACCTGCAATCAGAGGAAATGGGAACCAAAGGATTGGGTTTTACAGCTTCAGAATTGTCATTCGACCTCTCCTTCCGCTTGCCTATAAAATCAAATCTTAGAACATAAATAAAGAAAAAATTATCATAAAAAAGGTATTGGGCTATACCCAAAACAGTCTTTTCGGTTGCTCCATCTGATCTCTGTGAATGCTTCGAAAAATGTTTATTGGAGCCATTGCTTTTAAGTGTCTACAAATCAATACAATGAATCAATTATCAGAAAGTGAACTACATAACTATATATAATAACAATATTTGTATCAGGGGAGAAGATAAGAGAACATGCCTCGAGGAGCTGAGCCCAGTTAGGGTTCAAATTACTCGCCATTCTCCTAAATTCTTCCTCCGATTCGGCGAATTGGCAAAACCTAAAGGTAGGGTATTGTATTAGACTCGAAATACTTTTTGAGGATTAAAAAAATTCAGGGTATACAATTTATGGAAGTTTATTCAAGTTGAATTGAGTGTTTGTTTGGTAAGAATTTTAATAATTAATTATTTGACATTTAAAGATAAAGTGAATCTTAGTTGTGAGAGAATAATTCAAAAATAATGACTGAATTGTGAAATAACGATAAAAAAATTAATTTAAATTAACTTAAAATTTGTATCAAACAAGACTCATTATATTCAATTAAAATTTTTAGAAGTCTTTTATACTCAAATTTTAATGACTTATTAAAGAATTTTGGATCCTAACTTTTAAACAGAAAATACTAAAATAAAATTTTAAAATTTGTCTCTCATTAATTACAAGATTTTGGTAGACTTTTAATAAAAGTAGAAAAAAAGAAATTAATTAATCGTGTTTTCTTTTTCAATATTTCTCTTTTATTTTCCATAGGTGTTTGGGAGACATTTTTATATAAAAATGTATTTTTGAATAGTAAATTGATGGAAAATGTATGGTTGAAAAATAAGGAAAAGTTTTTTATTTACGTATAATATTATTTTAATAAAGAATGTGTTGTTAAAAAGAAGAAAGAGAAAAATGCATTTTGAAAAAAATGAGTACCAAACGGGGTAGAATTATAATTAAAATTTATTTTTTCTATTAATTATATTTATTTCTATTTTTCTCTTTCTCTTTCTTATTTCTTGGCCTTTTTTTCTATTGAAAAATTAAATTGGATTATGGGGAGGGAAAAGGAAAGGAGGGGGGATTGTACGGATCACTACCTCATTTGTGAGAAAATCAAACTATTGCACTAGATTCACATGAATTTTATTACAGATAAAAACTTAAAAAAAAAGTTTATCAAAGTTTTCAAAAGTCACAATTGAATACACCCCCCTTAAAATCCCTGAGATTCTTCAATCAAGACTTAAAAGTTGCGGTGTATTTAATTAAAAAAATTTAGGTACTAAGGGTGCATTTGGTTTACCCTTCTGTTTCAATTTTGAATCCATTTTCTGTTTTCCGTTTTGAATGACTATTTTAAAATTGCAAAAAACACATTTGGTTTGCCATACTTAAAAACTGTTTCTCAAAAAAAAATAAAAATTTTGAAAAATGCATTTAGTTTGATCAAAAAATATAAATTTTAAAGTTGGTAAAAAAAAAAAAAAAAGAATCATTATAAGATTGAGAGATAACACCCAAGAGATGATTTTTCCAGTAAAATTCTTGGAGGAGCTTGGGACGAAGAGGGAGAGAAATGGGTATTTAAATTTGAATAGATTTAGTGTGATTTTACTAATTATTTTAATTTAAGAAATTTTTAAGTTCATTTTCCTTGATTTGAGTTTTTTTTTTAAATATTGAAAATGTCAAAAAGTTGTTTCAAAAACTCACTTTTGGAAATAACATACAAAACATGTTTTGAGTGTTTTAGAAAACTTAAAATTAAAAATAACTTTAAAATGACAAATCAAACGCAATAAAAATGTGCGTTTGATTTGTTATTACCAAGTCATTTTCAATTTTGCAAAACACTGAAAATATGTTTGGTCTGCTATTTCTAAAAACATGCTTTCAAAAATAATGATAAATTTATAAAGTAAAACTTAAAACATATTTTTCGCGTTTTAAGTGTGTTCATTAAAAAATCTGAAAACACTCAAAAGATTTTTAAAAAAAAGTATATAAAATTCTAATAAACAAAATTTAAAAATTATAGAAAATTAAAATTTTAAAAATAAAATTGATGAATTTTAAAGAATAAAAATTTGAAAAAATAAAATTCCGAATTCTAAAAATATATATATAATTCTAAAAAATCAAAAATTAAAATTCAAAAAAATAAAGATTATAATTTTGTTTTAAAAAAAGTGAAAATTGTAAAAATAAGCAATAAAAATTGTTTTAGCTCTTAATGATTATCGTGTATATAAAATTTTTAAAAAATATATTTAAATGAACATGATCAAAAATAATTTTTAAGTCCACGCAGTAGTTTTTATTTTTATTTCATATATTTTAAAATTAATTTATTATTTTTGAGTGAGAAAAATGTATAACAAGATTTAATTATCTGCACACTATCCAAATAATTAACAATCGCTAGCAAATTAATGAACAAAAAGGCACCGCATTAGCTCACAAATGCTATCAAATACGAGAGGGGAAAAAACAAAAACCAGCAAATGAACATTTGCAAATTAACCCGATAATTAAAAAACATTAATTGCAAACTCGCCATGAGGCTGTTAATTGTTAAAGATCGACGACGATTTTCCTTTATCTGCTCTTCTTATAAGCCTTTAGAAAGCAAAAATCTACGGATTACGTGTTTATATAGGCTCTATTTGATCCACATTTGAAAAAAAAAATACATTCTTAAACACGATTTGACATTATTTTAATTACACATTCTTTATAAAAATAATGTTACACACAAATTCAAAGCTTTTTCGTATTTTTTAACTATACATTTTTCGTCATTATACTATTTAAAAATACATTTTTATAAAAATTATATGGCTCAAAAAAGGCATAGTGGGACACGGAAATTTTTGGTGAAATTAAAATGGGCTAGTATCAGTTGGGACTTGGCCCAAACAACATTTTAGTTTAGCACGGCCCGTGTAAATTCCTATGTTATTGGTCATTTAAATTTGAAAATTAGAAAAATACTTGTTTTTACAATTATTTTGGTTTTACCTTATATATAATTTTTTTTTTTTCGAAAATACTACTTCTCCATGTTATTAACATCGGCCAACCATTCCAAATACTACTCAAGCACCATAAAACCCTAGCACCCCTCCATCTTACCCAACGCCGTCATTGTTGTTGATTCCCATCCATCACCACTAGATATTACACTAGAAAATTTAGTCGTCATCATCCCTTAAAAAGTCAACAACTCCAAACATTGCTCATGGATATAGTTGGCAAACAACGAAGAGGAAGATATAGTTTTGTGTGGTGTTATGTTATATTTTAGTAGTAGTTGGATGTATGTGAAGGTATGGATCTGTCTGAGTATGAAAGTGTGTACGGCAACAATGGCATGAGTTTGGAGATAAAGGTTGTGGATTGTGATAACATGCTACTTTTACTTGCTTAATTTAATTATTTAAATGATTTAATTTCAATACATTTAGTCAAGTTGAGTATTCAACCACAAGATTCTTAGTATTTAAGGTTTACCTACCCTTACCCATGAAGAAATTAGGGTTTCTTCACCCTATATTTTTTTAAGAACAAAATAGATAAATGTAGAAATCAAGGGATTTAACTATGCAAGAAGAAATATAGGGACCGAAATATATAAGAATAAAGATAGGGGAACTCTGAACCAAGATCATGATTCGAATAGGTAGATAGATTCCACCTAAATCACAACTTATATTCTAAAGAGGGAGAATTACAGTTGTGACCCGCAAAGGTTTTCATTTTTTTTGCAGACTTTACTCAAACATTTTATATGTGTTACCCATGATCACAAACGTTTCATTTCGATGCAATACAAGGACTAATGGATGGATCATTTGATCATTAGTTGGCCAGAGAATTTACCTTGACCACAATATTGAATAATTTTAAAAAGAGAAAATGGTAACTTTACATTTTCCACATAAAGTAATTAAATACAAAAACCAAAAAAGAAATTATGAAATGTTTCTTTTTTCCTTTCCTCACCCCGACACCAAAATTGGAACTTTACATATTCCACATAAAACTCTATTGATCTGGACAATCACTTAGGTAAATTCGTGTTGACGAGATATATGATATGATGAGAAAGCTTTTAGCTCGCACTCCACCTACTCCGTCTTCCTCTTCCGACCCTTGAGGCTTAAAGATAATCATGTCATTTCAGCTATCATCTTCGGACTAATATTAAGGGAAATCCTTAGTTCCCTTTCGAATATCAAACATGCTTGTTTTTACTGTTTTTACTGTTTTTTCATGCTTGTTTGTGTGATAAAAAATAAAAAAATAAGTTCTTTTCAAATTTTTGTTTTTTGTGCACTTACGTGAATTAGATAGCTTTGCTGACTATGATGCATATATTCGAAACCATATATTATGCTATGAATTCTGAAAAAGTTACAAGTTAGGCTAATTATGCTTATTCGTGTGAAAGTTGGTACTTATTACACATGACACTTATGTTTTGTAATATGAAGGAGTTAATTGATTCATATGATTGAATAGGTTGAAAGTAGCGGAACTTAAATACTAAAGCCAAACAATTAATACATTATAAGTCATTGAACCAATTCTAGTATAGTTTAGGAATAATTAAATTGTTATAGGAAGCTATTGAGATAAATAAAGATTCCATAAGTGCAAACTTTTGCGTGGATTGTACGAGGCCAATACATTAAACTTTGTTAAAAATCTCAAGTTAGATGTCAGCTTCTAAGAATGAATATTTAGTGAGGAGTATAGCACTAATCTTTGCATAAAAGAGAAAAGGGAAAATTGCAGCCAAGGTACCAAACCTTTCGTTTATTAGCAAACTTTGTCCAAACCTTTCGTTTGTGCTACCGTGAGTACCAAACATTTAAAAAATGTGCAACTGAGGTCCAAATGGATGGTTTCTATTAGTTTGACCATTAGTTGACCCAATAAATTGATTTTGACCAATTTTAGAAGGGGTAAAATCGTAATTTTGAATTAAAATTTAAAACAAAAAGTAAAACAAAAAATCAAAGGTCATTTAATGTTCATCTTCTCCTTCCTACACCCACTTCCACACCCCACCTCCTGCTGAAATATCTCTCCAAATCTCTACATCCCAATTCATTTTCTCCTTCACAACTCTCACTTATTACATCAAAGAACAAGCACCAATGTTCACAATACTTTCGACAGCCTTTGCGACAGCGTTTTTAGCTCCATCGTGTTGGTTCCTGCACCTCCTCCGTTGCGATAGCTAGGCAGAGCAAAGCATCAATCTGCGAGCTATTGTCTTACTCATTCAAAATATTATCTACAAAGGGCTTGAGAATGGCGGGGATTTT